AATGAAAAGAAAAAGGTGCCTTATATATATAAGGAAAATATTCATTTGTTTGATATGTTGAACTGCAATTAGTAAGATATAATCAAACTAGAGAAGGTGATGATTAGAATTTTTTTAAGCCCCAGTTTGTTTTCCATTTTCACCACGTTTTCAAAAAAAATTTGCCCGTTGAAACAGTAAGTGGGCCCATACACAGCCCTTTTTTTGACTCAACAACATGAAAATTTCCTGAAATTCCCATTCCTTAACTTTGAAATAAATGCGGAAAAGGGTAAAAATGTAATTCCATTTCTAACGGACATTAAATGCGCCTACATTTTTACTATGTAACGATTAGGATTCTTCTACCAATGAAAATGAAAATGGTAACAAAACACAGGCTAAAAGTCAACCTCATATTATATTTTGGGAGAGAGTGGAGAGAATAAAATTTGGGAGTGTGTATTTTACGAGTGAAAAGGGAAATATTTGACGACAGAGGGTCTGAAATTAAATCAATTTATCACTTTATGATGCTTTACAAAAATCCTCTCACACATACATCAGTTTTGAATTGGATAGGTAGAGATTGACTTAGCATTATGATTTTGAACTAATTTATACTTACAACTCTGAAAGTGCAATCCTGAGGCTAAAGGCAGGTTATCCAACCCAAATTATTTGTAAAAAATTTGTGTAGTTAAGCTTTATTTTATTTGAGGACAAACAATTGTTTAAGTTTGGTGATGTTTGATAAGTGTATTTTGTACACTTATCTCAGTCATTTAACTAGAGTAATTATTGTTATTTTAAATGAATTGATGCTTAATTTTGTATATATTATGTTTATTAGGTGCATCTCAATGAAAACCAATGGAAATGGATAAAAAGAGCGAAAAATTGGCCAAAATGGACCAAATTCAAAGTTTGGGGACTAAATTGCAAAGTACTGATTTCGGACCTAAGATTGATGATTGGAGAAGGTGTGGAGTCAATTAAATGACATTGGAAGATAAATGACCAAGCAGATATCAAAAGGAGCTAAAATGAATAAAGAACAAAATTGAGGGACCAAAATGCAACAAATGAAAATTTTCATAACGATGTGCGCGTGCAAGCCAATTCTTGCATTTGCGTAGGGATGGCAACGAGCAGAGTCGAAAACTTTTTGAAAATGGGCTTTTTTTGCTCGAGTTGAGTCGAGCAAAAGCTCGACCAAAAAATCAAGGCTTGGCTCAAGCTTTTGGCTCGGGCCTTACCTAGCCAAAACGGGCCGAGCTGAGCCGGCTCTTTTTTTCCCTCTTTTTTTTTTTTTTGCCGAGCCACGTGCGGCACGAGTCCTCGAGCCTTTTTGCATCCCTACATTTGCGCGACACCCTATAGTTCATTTACCGAGAGTAAAATTAGTGAACAACTCGCGCACATGGAACTAACTATATGATGCACTTGCAGGCCATTCTTGGCCTAAATGGCCAAATGTCCCTTTTTGACCTAAACTCTTATTAAAATCAAATTTGACCAAGTATTTAAGCTACAAGGGAGGGCTAGAACGGGGAGCACATTATTATACATATTTTTCACCACAAGAAAGGGGCTTTTACAAAACTCAACGGCAATTAACAGAAGAGATTCATAGACTGAGTAGAAGATTTTTCCAATCATTATTTTCTATTTCGGATGATGTTTTTTCAAATTTTTTTTTGATTTATCAAATAACATGCTAGGCTAATTCTTTTCATATATTGGATGAGATGAACCATATTTGTTTATTTATTTTACTTCAAGACTAGTAGTTTAGTATTTTTTGCATTTCTTGATTAATTTTTCATGCTTATTGTATTATTTAATTGTTTGGTCATCAATTAGATAATTAGTTGCTTGTTCTAGTGTTTGGAAGACTCAATATAAGTTTAGAATGCGGCAAAATTAATATATGTGCAATAGATGTTAGGAATAACATTTATTATGTGTGCAATCATATAGATAATTTAAACTTTAATGCATTCTAACCATTCGAATTCGGGTTAGGAATAGATTCGGGTCGTAGTTAGAATATAATTAATTTATTTTGAAAAAGAAAGTTAAATACCTTAGCTTTATCTATTATCATGAACACATGAACAGAACTAGATTACGAATCAAGAATTGAAACAATTCTCACCCATGAAAACATGGAAAACCACACTTTCTAAGACAATCAAGAATTGAAATTCCATGGAAATAATTGTGCTACCAAACAACAACAAAAATAGAAAAGATGGAATTGGAATTCCATGCTATCAAACACTGCCTAATTTGTCTTGAAAAAGAAAATTATATATCATAACTTTATCGATTTCAAGAACGCATGAATGAAATTAGATTATCAATCAGGAATTGAAATAGATAATAATAGGCAGAGTCGAAATCCAATACAATCATCCATAATTTGATAAAACCCTAATTTTACTGCTTTTTTTGATTAATTTAGCAAAAATAAAATCAAAATCTCTCTTTTGTTTTACATAATTCGAATTACATACATAACTAGTAAACTTGAATTGAAATTTATTTTCTATAGGACGATACTTTCAACTCATTAAATCTATTACTTGTCAATAGGCCCGTATGCTTACAGGTTTCGCACGAACAATTATTGGGTAAAAAAATTGGCAAATATAAGTATTGAGAAAAGAATGGGATTAAGGGTGAGAGAAGTTGAGAGTTGCGAAGTGGAAAGAAAAAAGTTGTGCAAACAAGAGAAAAAAAATACTTAGAAATTTTAGAAACAAAAATTCAAAAATTTCTATAAGATCAATTGACGCCACATAAACCCTTGTAAATCATCCCATGTTCCCACACTTTTTTATCATGACTTGTTTGCAACACCAAAAAAGCCAATTGTTTGAGCATCAGCATGGCCACCCTAACCAGGGACGGGTAAAAAAATTGAAAAATTGATCAATCCGACCAAACCAAATTGCGGGTCAGTTTAGGTCGATTTGAAACAAAAAACTCAGTTTGGTTCAGTTAATTAACGGGGTGTTTGCTTAAACCACAACTAACATAACCCGACTTTTAATTTTAATATATATATATATATATATTTTATTTTAAAATTCATATTTTTAAACTTAAAATTAAAATAATAAAAACATAAATATAATATTTAGCTCAAATAATTTGTTTACCATCTATACTTTCTCTACCAAAACTCAAAATTTCAAAAGAAAAGAAAAGTAAGGAGAATAATTATATTGTAAACTCCAAGTTTAGATTGTAACATTGCTTTTCATTTTAATTTAATTTCTTATTGGTAACTATCGACCACATAGTACTACGCAAGCAAACAAAATTTTTAACCTAGAATAGATAGGCAAAGTTTTTTTAACTCAGAGAAATTTTCAAATTGACTAACCAAACCAAATCGACCTAAAACTGATTTGGTTTGGTTTGATTTGATTTAGTTTCAACAACTGAATGGGGTCGGTTTGGGTTGGAATTTACCCAAACATACCAAGTTGGTTTCAATTTCGGGTTGAGCTAAAAACCAACCCAACCCGAACTATGCCCAGGCCTAGCCCCAATAGCAATGGAGGTACAATGTGATGATAGCCGAGTGCATTGCCAAAGAACAACCTTGCAACTACCAAAATTGTGCTATGGATACTTGATGATCTTAGAACAGTCTAATGTGGTTCCAAGCTCCTCCTTTTGTTTATTGTTTTAGAATGTGTGAACAAAATTCCATCAAGGGTAAGAGACGCCAACAAAATGTATGAACAGAATTCCATCAAGCAAAAGTTTAATTTGATTAAAGATGAAGCGCAATTTAAAGTATTGATATGCAACGCTCGTTTAATAGAATCTTATCCACTAGATTTAGGGTGAAGAAGACCAACGACAATAACGTCAATGGTAAGAGACACCAATAAAATGACAAATAAACAAATATTATTCTCGATATACATAAAGTTCCTTGTGTAGTGAGAAAAACGCCTATCAATCAATTAACCACACAAAGTTAGTTAACTATTCAATATCTATCAAGCTGCAATGGATTGGCACCAAAAGTGGATGGATAGAGCTCGGATCACGAGCCTATAATCACACAGCACCACACAAATTGGACCAAGATTACCCACTCAAATGGATTACAATAGAAGACCACTCACAGAGGCGATCGAATAGGGGCAAAACAGAGCAGCAACAGGGGGTAAAAACACACACAGACAGAGGTACAATCCTGGCCAAGTGCCGACGGTAAGGAGCAAAGAAGGCAATCACAAAGAGGCAGAAAAAAAAGATAGCCACGAAGTAAGAGCCAAGGAAGAAAAAAGGCGCAACCAAGTCTAAATAATAATGCGGAGGAAGTTGTGTATTGTATCAGAGCACAAAGGACACAAACCTATATATATGTAATAATAATAGGTCAAGTAATGGGTCGAGCCTGTTTAGTGGTCTTTGTCCTTCACTGTAATTTCGGCTACCAAGTGTGATTTCTGGCCTAATAGTAATTGAGTGCATTCCATTATGAGTTTCCAATGAAACTAATTGAATATAGTATCCAACCGAATTATTCATTATCGTCTCAAGGTTTATTTGATATCAAAATATCGAAAACCTTGTATGAAAATTTTATCATTCAAATCATCAATTATCATATTTCAGTTAAAAAAATTCGATACAACAAATGAACGTCAAAATCCACACAAAATTAAGACTACATTTCTTCAATAATGTCAATCAATAAAATGAGAATATTAATACATCAGAATGATTCCAATTCAGAAAGTATAAGCAAAAAATAATTATATAAAGCAACTAAAGGAAAAATGATATATCTTTTGGAAAGAATTTAATAATACTTTTCTATTGGAAAAGTCGCAAACTGTCAAAAATGTCCCATTTTTTATGAACCAACTTTTCTTGACCAAGAATTGATATTGGGCCATATAATTCCATTGACTTGCATTCCCCACAAAGACTTCAGAGTCTTCCCTTACTTTTGAGTCGTTAAATATAAGTAACAAAAAATGTATTTTCTTTTTATATATCTCAATTGTCCATAGATGGAATTTAGCACTCCTCACATATGCCTACAGCCATCAGCCTTGATGAAAAAAGTAACACCAAACAATTAGTACCCAGAAAAATATGTCCTTTGCTCTCCTCTGCTTCCTTCTCCGCCTCCTAACCACCGCCCTCTCTGCCACTCCTTACCGTCCCACGGATCAAATCCTCTTTAGTTGTGGCTCACAGTCCAGTGGAACAGATGACAACCAACGTAGTTGGGACAGTGATGCTCGTTTCAAGTATGCACCATCAAATATCGCCACCAAGTCCTTAGCCTCTGAACCAACAGAACAAGGCTTTTCTGTCCCGAATTTCGCCCCTTACACGACAGCTCGTATTTTTCAATCCCAGTTCACTTACACTTTTCCAGTCCTGGCCGGACCCAAATTTCTTCGCCTCTACTTTTACGCTGCCACCTATTCCAACCTTGATAAAAACGTATCCTTCAACAAAAATGAATCATTTTTTACAGTTACTGCCAATGAATTCACACTTTTGAGCAATTTCAGTGCGTATCTCACATCCACACCCTCTGAACCCTCCTTTAAGAAAGAATTCATCATTAATGTGGAGGATAATCATAGCCTTAACATAACCTTTTCACCTTCTCCAAAATCTTACGCGTTTATCAATGGGATTGAAATAGTTTCAATGCCAGACAACCTTTACTTCCGTGACCTCCCCATCAAATTCGTGAATCAACTGTATTATCTGAAAAATACAACGGCGTTGGAGACTCGTTACAGGTTCAATGTAGGAGGAGGTTATGTCGGAATAAAAGCAGACACAGGGATGTTTCGTGAATGGTTTCAAGATGATAACTATATTCCTGGTGGAGAATTTGGTTACACACCTCACGCAGAAAATCTTCCAATCCATTACACTGAACATTCCCCAGCTTATACTGCGCCGGAAATAGTTTACACTACCTCAAGGGTAATAGCCAACGGAAGCAAAAGTTTGGAATGGAGTTTTCCTATTGATTCCGGGTTTCACTACCTCCTCAGATTCCATTTCTGTGAGATTCAGATGGAAGTTACCAATCAAAACGAAAGGGTTTTCACAATTTCAATCAACAATCAGACAGCAGAAATTGAAGCCGATGTTATTTTCTGGACTGGAGGCACTGAAATTCCTTATTTCAAAGACTACGTCACATGGGTTAGTGATGACGGCCGCCGTGGAGAGAAAGACCTGAGGCTTTCTTTGTTCCCAAACCTTATTTCCCGGCCTAAGTACTCCAATGCCCTCTTAAATGGCTTGGAAATCTTCAAGCTCAGTGATTCTAAACGTAGTCTAGCGGCAGCAAACCCTGATCACAAACTAAATTCTTCGCCATTAGGACCAGATAATAGCTCACAGAAGAAGAAAAATAAAGACACGTCTGTACTTTATCCAGTTATTGGGAGTGTGACCGGATTTCTTCTTCTGTTGTTATTTGTCAGCTTCTTGATTTTCCATGGCCGGCGGAGAGAGGAAGACTTTGGCCTAAGTGTGGTGAAGTCGTCATGGGTCCCACTTTCAATCACGTCGAAGTCAACCACGAAGACCAGCGGTTCAGGTTCATCGCTGCCGTCTGATCTGTGCCGACAGTCTTTGTTGGAGGAGATTAAATTGGCAATGCAGCGGCAGGAGGTGGCAGAGAATAGAGGCCGTGACGGGGTAGTGGTGGATGGTAGAGACTCCCCAATGTCCCCGTCATATCCATTACTTCGGCACGAGGAGCCAACCAACACAGAAAACGACAAATTATTCTCTGGTTCGGGCGAAGTTGTGGTCGAATCAAAGAGCACTAATACATCAACTGCTAGCAACGACCTATCTAAGAGCAGTATCACATCTACTGCTGCTATCAGTGACAGATTAAAGACCGAGACTATTTTCTCTGAAATTAATAATTCAGCAGGGCGCTAGGTTTCCTTTTCCTTCTTTCTTTTCATAATATCTTTGTCTAATTTTGTCATTTTTGGTCCATGGATTAATGGTCACAGTAATGAGAATCCATTGACAATTGATATTATCAAGTTTCAATATTGAAGTGAGAGCCATATACTATGAAGTTATCGCCAGTGGTTAGTTGTGGAATTTAATACTCCATATATAAATATTTTTCATTTTCCGACAGCTTTTTACTTCATGTTTCATAGAGACCATATGCATGACTCTATTGTGTACCAAATTGTGAGAAAGGTTTAAGGAACGTTATGTTGCAATTTGTATCCCATGTTTAGTATACTAGCATGAAAGTCGACCAAAGTTCGTCCATATTGCATCAAATGCTGTAATAAACGAGTGCGGTGGAGATGGGAGCAAGTTATACAAAAAACACAATTATTTTTTACCAAGAAAAATATTTACAATGCTGATATATAAACATTTTACGTCAAGAGGAATTCTCAAATGATCTACAAAATAGTCTATTGGAATAAACAATTCCAAAATCATTTTTCCACAGAATAACCACAACAGAAAAAGTGTCCAGCGACGATTTTTTTCACTAATGGTAAACACACGTAAATCGATTTTAGTTAACTATGACTGAGAAACAGATGTCCCAAATATTCGAACAAAAACAGAAGAGGAAAGCAACTAGGCTGTCTTCAATATAACATAAATAAAAATCAATTATTGTTGACAACTGAATAATATTCTCACGAATATTTTGCACTGAGGAAATCTGTGGCTTAATCCTTGCAATATCCTATCTCTAATCGACCAAATCAGAACCTATCAAAATTGAAAACTCATTTTTCTTGGGTTAAAGTAGAATACAAACTTCTAACTCTGGAATGTCTCGAATTATGGCCGACTGAAGAGAATAGCATTGTATGACTAAATTTTAAGAGCTAATTGAACGACTCTTGAATGATTGAATGGTTGCTCGAAAGGGAAGAGCTGAAAGATAAGTGATATTTAGCCCCCACCCACTGGTTCTGTGTTGTTAATGTGACGGTAAATGATAAATATGAATGAGTTCCCTTGTTTGATCTAAAATGCATTTTCTCTCTCTCTCTCTCTCTCTCTCTCTCTTTTCTTTTCAATTAAACATTCTTCGATGAAATATTATTATATGTAAATTCAAAACTTTTATTTATTTTTTAATCACAAATTCTCAATTAATTCACTATTCAAAAATGCATTTTTCAATCAAAATGCAGCTCAAACAGGGTCTTAATTTCACATTTCATTTCCCCTATCACCCGATTTGATCATACATTTTTTTTTATTGCGAGCACAATGCACGTTGTAAAAATCTTTTTTATTTTTATTTTTTTTTATGGTGTGTAGCATGTTTACTGTAAATTCATATATATGCCCTTGTTTGATTTCCATTTTTTCAAAAATGCATTTTTCCAAAACTCATTTTCAACCATACATTCTTTTATAAAATAATTATACACGAATTTCAAAAATTTTTCCTTACTTTTTAACCACACATTCTTCAAAAAACTACTATTCCATAATTCATTTTATCCCAAAAATGGGAATCAAACAAGAGCATATTATCAACACACATTAGCGCATGCTGTAAAGAGTCATTCTTTACATAAAATTTTTAAGTCATAACTATTTTCGAAATCAATCTACACGTCGTACTTGAGAATTATGCCATTTCGAAATCAATCTACACGTCGTGCTTGAGAATTATGCCATAAATATTCAGCTTTTATGGCATTTCCAAAATGTATGTCCTAGCGCTGTAAAGAGTCATTCTTTACATAAAATTTTTAAGTCATAACTATTTTCGAAATCAATCTACACGTCGTGCTTGAGAATTATGCCATAAATATTCAGCTTTTATGGCATTTCCAAAATGTATGTCCTAGATACTTTAAGTAATGAGTTTTTATAGCACACATTTAATGCATGTCGTAAAAAGTCCATTTTTACGGCATGTTTTATATGCCCACTGTAAACAATTGTCTTAAAATGCTACTTGTGTTGTAGTGATTATTGATGAGTGTATTTTGTACATCCCAATCATTAAACTAGAACAATTATTGTTATTTTAAATGAATTGAGGCTTCATTTTATATATATTACGTTTGTTTGGTGCATCTCGATGGACAACGATGGAAGTGGACAAAATGAGTGAAATTAGACTGAATCCAAAGTTTGGGGACTAAATCGCAAGTGCTGATAGTTGATTCGGACCTAATATCGATGATTGGAGAAAGTGTGGAGTCAATTACATTGAATTGAAAGATAGAGGACCAAGAAAATATCAAAAGGAGTTAAAATGAATAAATAACATAATTGAGGAACCAAAATACAACAAAAGGAAAATTTTCATAGCAGTGCCAGCGCAAAGCAATTCTCACGTGGGCATGACACCCTACGATCAATTTAACAAGAGCAAAATTAGTGAACGATGCGCGCTAGGGCCATTTCTGTGTCTAAATGGCCCAGCGTCTTTTTTTTACTTAAACTCTTATGGAAATCAAATTTAATTTAATATTTAAACTACAAGGGATGGCCAGAATGAAGAGGCACATTATTATACATATATTTCACCACAAGGAGGAGGCTAGCACGAAATTCCCCAACAATTGACATAAGAGATTGAAGATCATTTTCTAGGTTGAAGATTTGTGAAAAAGAAATTGATTTTTCACTTTCCAATCATTGTTTTCAATTTCTGGTGATGCTTTTTCAAAATTTTTTGTGTAATTTATTAAATAACATGCTAGGCTAATTCTTTTCATATATTAGATGAGATGAATCCTATTGTTTATTTATTTTAAATCAAAACTAGTAGTTTAGTATTTTTTGGGTTTCTTGATTAATTTTTTGCATATCCATTATATTATTTAATTCTTTGGTCACCAATAAGATAATTAGTTGCTTGTTGTAGTGTTGAAAGACTCCCAATAAGTTTAGAACGCGGCAAAATTAACATATGTGTAATAGATGTTAAGGATAACATTTATCACTTGTATAATCATATAGATAATCTAAACTTTAATGCATTCTAACCATTTGAATTTGGGCTAGGAATAGATTCGAACCGTGATTAGGATATATTCAATTTGTTTTAGAAAAGAAAATTATATATCATAACTTTATCGATTGTCAAGATTGTATGAATGGAATTAAATTATAAATCAAGAATTGAAATAGATAATAAACAGTAGAGTCGAAATCCAATAAAATCATTCATAATTTGATAAAACCCTAATTTTACCACTTTCTTAGATTAATTTAGCAAAAATAAAATCAAAATTTCTCTTTTATTTTACATAATTCGAATTGCATACATAACTAATAAACTTGAATTGAATTTATTTACTATTAGACAACACTCCCACTCCCACTTCACTAAATCTATTATTTTTACGCGATCATGAACACTTGCGAGTTTCACACAAACAAGTTGTTGGCATCGTTGTCGGGGAATAAAGTATTTAATTTGAATTTATTAGTTTATATAGAATTTAAATTTTCTTTTGCATTGTTTTAGGCTATTAATTAAACTCTCTCTCTCTCTCTATGCAGTTTATGCAAAATTCTGAAGAAATCAAGCTATTACCATTTGATCAAAGATGAAGCTTAGTTTAAAGTTTTGATATTTAATGCTTGTTTGAAAGAAGCTTATCCACTAGTTTTAGGGTGAAGAAGACCAACAATAATTCCATCAAGGGTAAGAGACGCTAATAAAAGGACAAATGAATAAATATTATTCTCAATATACATAAAGTTCCTTGTATAAAAATTTTATCATTCGAATAATCAATATCATACGTTTGTTTAAAAAATCAATACAACAAATGAATTCATGTCAAAATCAACATAAAATTAAGACAACATTTCTTCAAATAATGACAATCAACAAAATGAGAATATTAATACATCAAAATGATTCCAATTCAGAAAGTATAAGCATAAAATAAATATATAAAGCCACTACAAGGAAAAATGATATCATTCTTTGGAAAGAATTTATTAATAATATTCTCTTGCAAAAGTCACAAACTGACAAAAATGTCTCAATTATGAACCAACTTTTCTTGACCAATAATTTATATTGGTCCATATAATTCCATTGACTTGCATCCCCACAAAAACTTTAGAGTCTTCCCTTACTTTTGAAACGTTACTTATAAGTTACGTTTTTTATTTTTACATTTTTTAACATAAAAAGTATTTTCACTTTATATATATATCAAGAACCATACTAGAGCTACATAGAGGGTGACAGCCCCCTCACAATAGGGGGCCTGCGCCTTCCCCCTATTGTGAGGGAGTGTAATTTGTACCGTCACAAATATCAAAATCCATAACTCAATTGTCCATAAATGAAAACTCCCCTCACATATGCCTACAGCCATCAGCCTTGATAAAAAAATAACACCAAAACAATTAGTACCCACAAAATCATGTCCTCCTTTGCTCTCCTCCTCTGCTACCTCCTTCGCCTTCTAGCCACCGTCCTCTCTGCCACTCCTCCTTACCATCCCACGGACCAAATCCTTCTCAGTTGTGGCTCAGAGTCAAGTGGAATAGATAACAACCAACGTAGCTGGGACGGTGATGCTCGTTCCAAGTATGCACCACCAAACATCGCCACCATGTCTATAGCCTTGGAACCAACAGAACAAGGTTCTTTTGTCCCGAATTTTGTGTCACAATACACATAAGATGTAATTTTCATTCATATGGTCAATAGGTGAGTTACAGAGTTTATATAGGAAAAAAACTCCTAATTTTGGATAATCAAAAATCTGTAGCTAATTAATTGATTCTACACATAATTGCCTAATTCTATTCCCTTAAAATGATATAATTATATATGATTTATGTTTCCACAAAAAGATTTCTAACAGCTCACGCCAACACTCCCCCTCAAGTTGATGCATACAGGTTTCTGATGCCCAACTTGTCAAGTGAGTTGTGAAAGTCCTTGCTTGAAACTGCCTTTGTGAGTATGTCTCCACATGTTTTGTTCTATCATGTTGAACCGGGTCATGAGATATGGCAATGGCAACTTTGTTGTCACAGTATAGATCCATCTCAGTAATAGGAGCAAAGTCAAGTTCAGTGAGCAGTTTTCTGATCCAGAGGAGTTCACAAAGTCCTTTTGCCATTCCACGAAACTCCGCTTCAGCACTCGATAATGATACCACTTTTTGCCTCTTACTTCTCCATGTAATGAGATTACCGCCTACAAACATGAAGTAGCCCGAGGTAGACTTCCTATCTAAAATTTTCCCGCCCAATCTACATCTATATAGCCATCAACTTTCAAGTGATCATTCTTTGAAAACATCAGTCCCCTCCCTGCTGAGGACTTTAGATATCGAAGTATTCGAGTCACAGCATCCATGTGGTCTTTGCTAGGGCTATGCATAAACTGGCTAACTACACTTACGGCATAGGCAATATCTGGACGAGTATGAGACAAGTATATAAGTTTGCCAACTAATTTTTGATATCTCCCTTTATTCATTGGCACTTGATCTGAACACTCACTCAGCTTAAGGTTTTGAGTGATAGGAGTATCTGCTAGTTTACATTCCAACATCCCCACCTCAGCGAGCAAGTCTAGCACATATTTTCTTTGGGATAGGCATATGCCTTGTCTTGATCTAACCACTTCAATTCCCAGGAAATACTTGAGGCCTCCCAAGTTCTTTATCTTGAACTCAGACGCTAGCTGTTTCTGAATTCTGGATATCCCTTCTTTATCATCCCCTGTGATAATCATGTCATCCACATACACTATCAATGCAGTTACTTTGCCGTGTATGGTCTGAGTCACTCTGTTTAAACCCATATTTCTTCATTGCCACACTAAATCGTCCGAACCATGCTCGAGGTGACTGTTTCAAGCCATATGATGCTCACTGCAATTTACACACGACATTTTATGAAGACCCTGTATAGCCCGGAGGGAGGTCCATATAGACTTCTTCTTCGAGGTCGCCAAGAAGAAATGCATTCTTCACATCAAGCTGATGTAGTGGCCAGTTAAGATTAGCAGCGAGGGACAATAGTATTCTAACAGTGTTTAGTTTAGCAACTAGTGAAAACGTCTCTTGGTAGTCTATCCCATATGTCTGTGTATACCCCTTCGGACTAGCCTTGCTTTGTACCGCTCAATGGATCCATGTGCCTTGTGTTTGATGGAAAATACCCATCTGCATCTTACTGTCTTCTTTCCTTCAGGTAATCGAACTAGTATCCACGTGTTATTCTTTACTAGTGCCTCCATCTCATCTTTTATTGCCTGAATCCATTTGGAATCTGACAAGGCATCCTGAATTCCTGTTGGAACATGATTAGAAGAGAGAACATGTACAAAAGCTTTCAGTGGATCAGATAACTTCGTGGTGGATACATAGTTGGCAACTGGATATCTTAATCTTCATTTTTCAATGTCTGGAGAGTATCTGCTTAGCGATTTGCCTCGATTATGCCTGAAAGGTAAATTATAGCCACCAGGAGTATCTAAATTGCTTATATGTGAAGGAGTGCTTACCTCAGAGATATTCTCCGGAGATGGGCCTGTAGATACTGAAGAGAAAGGGGGCTCTGGTTCGGTGCAGTTTGGTTCAGCTTCTACAGTTGGTTCCGGATCTTGAGTCATATCATTCCTTAAGTCAATATCTATCGGAGCTGTCTCTATCTCAGTATTATTTGACCACTCAAACTTCGACCAATTCAACTCTTCATCCCTTGTCTCTCCCTGAAGAGGAGAATTGGATGTTGGAGAAACAAATGTGTCAGACTTCGAGAAGGTAACATCCATAGTTACATAGGTCCGTTTGGAGGATGGATCATAGCACCGATAGCCCTTTTGATGTGTAGCATATCCCACAAAAAGACATAGGAGAGCACATGGGTCAAGTTTTGTAACAAACCAATGAACCCCAAACCTTGAATCGTGGAACGTGATAGAGCTGCTTTAATAACCGCTTTGATAACTGCACTTCTTGATAACCACGACGCGTTATGTTTGTTAATACCTTGGGCGACTTGAAGGTTTGGGCGAGAATAGAGTAACAGCTCTGGGCGACTGTATGACACTCCATTCGCTCAGATTCTGGGCGACTTGCAAACTTGGGCGATGGCGTTACCGCGTTCTTGGCCCTCCTTATTTGGGCCTTCATCTTGATTTGTTCGATTGGGCTTCGTTCTTTGGGCTATCTGATTTGGGGATTCTCCAATTGGGCTTCACTCCTTGGACTGTTCGATTTGGGCTGAATTTTTATGTGTCAACAATTACCCCCCAATATCGCAGAATTAATAATAATTATTAAATTTTGCCATATTCACTTTGTGTTTCCAGCAACATTCGAAATTCCCAAGAATTTCAATCATTGTTTCTTTCTATAACTTGAAAAGGTGCGTCGTTTTGCAAACCCTTATAAACCCCAAACACGCCATTTCACTGCCACCAAACCACGCCTCATATTTTTTACGTCTTCTTCACGATTCACTGTTCATCTTTTGCTTCCCTGCTACGTAATCCTAAAAAGCTTCGTTCCTTCTCAAATGGCTGCTTCACAATCTCAAGCTAGCGATTCCTTTAGTTTTGATGACTTTCAGAGACTTCTGAGTCGCCCATACATAACCCCAAGTTTTCTCACGCCCGCCGACGTTGGACGTAATGAGTTTTACTTGGGTCCTTTCTTCAACAATGCGGAGGTAGTTGAACAGGCGGCGGTGGGGCAGCTGTTTCCTTGCACTCATGGCCCTCCTTTTCTAAACTCTCTGCCACTGGGGCCACTTCGCGAAAGAGGTATTCGCACTTGGCCTAAATCTGATGTTGCTTTTCGTAGGTGGCATGCTCGCCTTCTGGGTCATGGTCCTACCAAGGTACTTTTTGATAGCGCTAGGATTTCTGATTTGTTGGAAATCTCTATCCTCCCCCGTACTTTTGATTCAGCACTCTTTTCAATTGCTTTGAGTTTTTGGTCTTCTGAGTATAACACCTTTATTTTCCCTCTTGGCCCCATGTCTATTACCTTAAGGGATGTTGGGGCCCTGGTGAATCTGCCACCTTTGGGCGATACCATTTTTCCTGGTATCTTAGTCTTTGGTGGCGCCCCAAAGTTTGGTAGAAACTACACTGATTCTTATTCAAGCCTGCAGACCTTCCACAATCATTCGAGCGCTGAGCCTACCCATACTAAACGAGTGGCCTTCCTTTTAGTTTGGCTTTGTAAATATATTTTGTGCGTGCCAAGTATAAAGCCCTCTCTGAGTTATTTACCTATAGCGCACGAATCGGCGCGTGGCAGGCCTTTGAATTTATGTTCTTTGTTTTTGGCTGCCCTTTATAGAGGCATGGCCTCTCTTCAAGCTGAATTGAAGAATGGTGCATCTCCACTGGCAATGGACCTCTTTGGTTCACTCAATTGTGGTTGAGATCCTATTTTCCATCGCTTGGTGCTCCATCCATTTCTCGCCCTTTTGCTAGCTGTTATGGGCTAGCCATGGAGCCCTTAACTCTTGTAAATATGTCCAGAAGGGACATTTTTTCATTCTTTTATTCTTTGGATTCAATCCCTTCCTTTTTTCCTTTTCCTCCTTTTTTGACTCCAAACTATGTACATCCCCCTTCCACTATAGATAACGCGAGCACCTCCCTACTCATTTGGATCCAATTTTTAACCGAGAGGGAGCTATTTCATGATATTCTAATTGGGACCAATGCCAAAGCGGGGGTAGAGATTTATGCTCCCCAAATTTTTGCTCGTCAGCTTGGTTTTGGCCAAACTTGGCCTGTTCCTCCTTGCTATTCAAGGAACTTAGTTGACCGTTTTCATACCATTACTAAGGCGAGGGTAGAGGCTATAGATGCTCGTAATCTTCTTTTAACCAGTCATTTTTCATTGGCCCCCTTCAATTCTAGCCACGCCATTCACCCTCTTTTTGAACAACTCTGGCCGTCGGTGAATCGCAGATTATTTGCGACTGATGCTAATCGTGCCTTTCATTCATTAGACCAACCGAGCATTTCTTTTCCTCCTCCTGTTTTAGTCACTCATTTGTCTGTTCGGAGCCCCTCTCCTTCTCGTCGCACTAAACAGTCCGCTCGTCCATCTTCTTCTCTCCCTGCCAAGCCTACTACGGCCAAGAGTGCTCCAAGCCGTAAACGGCCAGCCTCAGCATCACCCATTCTGGAGGATGATGTTGATGATGATGCCCCTTTTATCGTCAGGAGGAAGGTAATTAAATTGGTTTACTTACAAGTATATTTTTCCACATTTGAAACTTTTCTGTGTGCTGATGATCTTTTGGACTTTTCAGAAAAGCTCAGCCTCTCCTTCAAAGGCTTTGGCATCGACAACTTCTGCTCCATCATCCTCTGCTGAGGCTACTTCATCCAAATCGGTTGATGAGGGGACTACGCTTAAAGAGACATCTTCAGTCCCAGAGTCCTCATCACAACCCATGAATGAGCCACCTTCTTCCCAGGGCGTCAACCCCCCAAACATCGAAGCAGAAGGTAATTCAGTTTTTTGATGTCTTACCTTTGCTCGTGCTGTTGGTTTCTGATTTATTACTCTTGAGTTTTGTAGATACTCCTATAATTTCGCCCGTTGTGGCAACATCTTCTCGCTCAGACAAGGGGAAGTCCTCACGAATGGAGGAGTCATTGGTGGCAGACTTGGTTGAGGGCATGCCATCTTCCACGATTGTTGATGAGGTAGTCTTTGCTTCACTTCTATTTCTATTTTGATCGTTAGAGTGAGCATCTTTAATACTGGCAATTTCCTTTGCAGGATGCTGACAGGATTGTGCGTTCTATCCAAGACTTGTTCGCTTCCTGGGGGCAAGTCCAGACGTCTCGCCCTGCTCCATCTGATCGTCCTGCTGCTTCTTCAGAGGAAGATTTGAAGTTCCTCAAGGAGTCGATATTTAAGTACGTATCCTTCATGGATATGGATATTGGAAGGACTAGTGCTGCCAGACACAAGGATGAACTTGAGCACTTGAGTGCGAAGTTGGAGCAAGCACTGACGCTTCCGTCGCTCAATCTTTCTGCCGATTTTAAAGCGACGTCGAAGGTCATCCACTCCGAGGTCCTTTCTATGCTGGCCAAGAATGCTGAACTAAAGGCCAAGCGTACTCAATATCTTCAAGCCGTAACTGAGAAAGAGTTTTTGCGTATGGAGATTAACAAGGCTGAGGACGAGTTGAAAGAAATCTCCTCCGAAGTCATGATTGAAGACTCTTTGATGGTTAATTTGGCTGCTCAGATGAGGGAATTTAACGTTTATTTTTTTAGTCATCAATTCTTTAAGCATTTAACTGCTTTGCACTAAGAATCTTATCCATTTCCTTTTGATATTTCCACCGCTTTTTCCAAGACTTTGGGCTATTTAATTCCGTTTATTAGACAGAAATGTGGCTGTTCATATTCTGCCTCTTCATCTTCACCCCCCTATAAATGCTTCGCATTTTTCATCTTCTATCTTCATCTCTTCATTTTCTTCTTCGAAACCAATTTGCTGCCATTTCTTGGCATTCTGACGATCAATCTGATCTAAAATGGACTGTTTAGTCCGCCCACCTTACTATTTACCTTGATGTCACCTTTGGTATGGGAAGTATAGGAAATATTTTCTGGCCAACAGCGAAGTTCTTTCCTTCAAAATTCTTCCGATCGTCTCTTTGTTCTTCACAAGGAGTCAATGACGGAAGAAAATTTTTGGGCTGCTTGTGGGCCACTCTACTTGCTGAGAGTGCTTCTCAGCTTGCCTGCTGAGAGTGCTTCTCAGACTCTTTACCCGCCATTGCAGCGATGCATTTAGGAAGGTGGTG